ATGTGTATATGCGCCTTCAAGTCACCTGTTGACTCATGGCAACCCCATGAATTTCATAAGGTTTCCTTAGGCAAGGAATACTCAGAGGTAATCTTGCCAGTTCCTTCTTCTGAAATATATCATACAGTATCTCATATTTGTTGGTGGTCTTCCATTCAAGTAATAACCAGGTCTGACCCTGCTTAGTTTCTAAGCAGTGTTTTTAGGGTTTACCTCTTCCTGAACTACAAAAGACAGGATTGCATATGACACTGCTATGACACTTAAATACAGTGGGCCCTTGCTATCTGCTGCAGTTTGGTTCCAAGACCCCCTGTAGATACCAAAATCCGTGGATACACTAGTCCCATTAAATACAATGGCACAGTAAAATGATGTCCCTTATATCAAATGACAAAATCAAGGTTTTGAATTTTATATATTCATCTGTGGATGGTTGAATCCATGGATAAATAATCTGCAGATACAGAGGGCTGTGTATATAGCACCATAACTGTATAGTCTGAAAAGGACAGATATTTTTTATATCCAGTCTCTCTCTCTTGATCATAGGTTAGGTGGGATTCCAAATGTTGTTATCTTCCATTTATAACACGCATCACAATGTTTTCCCATTCCCACCACTTTTTTCTTGCCACAGATAATTTGTTAAGAGAAAAATAGATAATTAGCTACATTGTATCTTTTGACTAGTAGCACTAGGAGCTATGTGTCTGCTCAAGATGCCTATGTAAATTAAAAAAGTAAATAAGTAAAACTAAAATTACATAGTTAAAATATATGTTGCTTCACACAAACAAATATTGGTATATAGCTTATCTTTTACACATCCAAACAGCTATAATCTAATGAAAACCAAACTTTGGATTTTAGCCAGTTTAGTTCAGTTATACTCACTTAGCCAAGTGTTCCATTTTACATGAATTGTGGATTAAGATGTAGGTAGGAATCCATCTAAAATGTAGCTCCAAATAAAGCGTATATTTATTTGCTTTCTCAAGTAGTGAAATCTGAAGCCCTTTAATAATTTAAAAAAAACTGTATGTTGATGGTGTCTCTAAGTAAACTTTTATGTGTTTATAATCAATGTAATTTCAAATTAAAATTAAATACTGTCATAAGGAATAACACAGTCTTTTCAATATATTAAAGTGTTTAATTTATTTTTCATAACATATTACCCATTATTGGTCTCAACAATATAGTCCAGGAAAAGTTAAGGTTTAAATTCCCATTGGTTTTGACTAGAGAGACTGAAGTTTGTGCTTAACCATCTTGTTGAAATATATTTACATTTTAATTCAAGATAAAAGCAGTGGAATTAAAAGTGCTTACCATTTGGTTGTCTACACTAATCTCCTTTGCACCTTTCCCATCCTTGTCAACAATCTCCCTGTTTTGTCACATCACAAGATCGCTATGCATACTTCATTGAGTAAATGCCTGCATTGTTATTGGTGTTGTGGTTGTCATTGCTGTGTGCCTTCAAATCATTTCTGACTTATGGAAACTCTAAGGTGAACCGATCATGGAGTTTTCTTAGCATAATTTGTTCAGAGAGGGGTTGTCATCCTCTAAGGGTGAGAGAATGTGATTTGCCCAAGGTCACCCAGTGGATTTCCATGGCTGAATGGGGATTCGAACCCTGCTTTCCAGAGTCATGGACCAACCACTGCACCATGCCAGCTCCCCGAGTGCATTGCAAGCACAATAATTATGTACTTATGCTGGTGAGAATATAATTATTATTTGTTCTCACTGTTCATGAAGAGTTTTGAATACTGTGTATTTATGTATTATGTGGATCTTTAACCTTTTTTCATATGGATCCTTCCCCCCCCCCCATTTGCTTTATTAAAAGGCCAGCTACATAAAGACATAGTTATTACAATTCCTCTAATTTCTATGAAGAAGGATTTTTAAAAAGTATATATTCTGCTGATCCTCTCTTCTACTCAGCTATTCCCTTAAACTTCTAAGTCAGTCAATGATAAGAGGCCGATCTAAATGCTTCCACTGCATTAATCAAATACCAGGTCTAATTAAAACTGCCGTGCACAAAGCTTTTTCAAAATGTTGCTCAGGTATTGCAATAATTTCTGATCACCCAAGCCTGGAAGACAAATAATTAGGAGCTGCCAGAGCATTCTGATGAGTGATGTCAGCATCTCCAAGTGACCTTCCCTCCACTAATTAATTTTCATCTTAAGAAAAGAGACCCTGTTGTTGCACATTATTAATTGAGTTCACTAAAAGATGCGCCTGATTAATTTTTGTTGATAATACTTGTCATTCCAGGCAGCGGCTGTAATCATTCTATTGGGTTTTATATTTTTTTAAAGTTGATCCAGGTCTTTTTGCAATGCGACTGATACAATAACCCTGACACAGAAAATGTAAGGAAAGGGCATAATCCATAAGGGTTTCATTGTTTTTTTATTGGTTGCTTTAGGGCAAATGGAACTGTGATTTCTCATTTACTAACTTAACTCTCCACTGATCTAAGGAAATGTTTTTGGTCTTGATTTCCATTGTGAAGTACCTTCCTGTTTTTTCCCAAACCTGAAGAATGTTTACGTGTGTGCACGTGTGCACGTGTGTGTGTGTGTGTGTGTGTGTGTGTGTATAAGGTTACATACCTCAGAAAAATACATCATCTCTTTTTAGAGTTGCAAAAGGTGCAGTAAAATTATCCAAATGATCAAGGGAATCAAGCCAAATGATCAGAGGGATCAAGTAACTCTGCTTTGATGTGAAGGTTATAACAACTCAAGCCAACCATACAACATGCTTATTTGTTATTTATTTGGGAGACAGAAATCTGTCACAGGGTTTAAATTAAAAGAAAAGGTGAGTAAGGAGGACAATAAAACAGGGGCAAATAAAATTATTCATCCCTCCCTTTTTCCTAATATTCAAATCTGGTGTCAGGTGGGACAGAAAAATGAAAGTACTTCTTCGCAGAGTGTGCAGTTAAATTTTGAAATCCACTGCAACAAAATAAAGCAACAAATGTGGATGTATAGTGGGCCCTTGGTATCCACTGGGGTTTGGTTCCAGGATCCGCCCTGGATACCAAAATCCATGGATGCTTAAGCCCCATTATTTACAATGGTGTAGTCAAATGGTGCCCTTTATATAAAATCAAGGTTTACTTTTAGAAATTTATATTTTTTGGAATATTTTCAAGCCATGAATCTGTGGATAAAAAAAAATCCATGGATATGGAAAGACAATTGCATTTTAAACAGGATTCACAGATGTTAAGACTATGAGTACTTAATAAAAAAAATTATATAAAAACAAAAAATTGGGTAATGGATAAGGAATTTGAGGATATATTGGTTTCAAAAATAATCATAAAATAAAATTTTATAAAATGTTAAAAATAGAAATGGAAACAGAAGTGGTGATGACATATATGACTAAATGGGCACAAGGTATAGGACAAAATATAGAAATGGAACAGTGGGGAAAAGGTTGGGGGGAAAGGTTGAAATATACTCTGAATTATGACATAAAAGAGAATTTCTATAAGATGAAATTTCAGTGGTATCTTACACCATATAAATTGGCAAAGATGAGGAATAATCAATTGAATCTGTGCTGGAAATGTGAGAAAGAAGTCGGCACCTTCTTCCATTTATGGTGGTAATGTAAAGAGACTAAGAAATATTGGAAAGAAATACATAAAGAAGTCACGAAAATATTACACATGGAATTTCCTTTAGATCCTAAAATGTATTTATT